TGTAGCTTTAACTAATTTCTTTGAAAAATGTTTTGCATGCAAACATACTAGTCGATCATAAACAGCTTAGTTTTAGCTCAGTAGAATAAACCTGACGGACTCTACCGTGGGCCTCAATTATCGGAATCAGCCCAATAAAATGCATTCAAAGTAATGATTTGAAAGGCAAAGATATCTAAGGTTCAATAATTTTTTTGATACCAAGTATTTGTTATTTTTTTTTTTAAGTTTCTAATAGAAAACAATGATAGATGAATACTTTTTGTAAGCTGCGTACAAAAATATTATTATTAACAATAGAAAAGTCATCATAATAATTTAACTTGGTCATTATAGAGTCTCTTTTGAAAATCAATTTTTAAGTCAATATTATGTGTCTTGAATCAAAATAAAAAGAAAAGAGAGAATAAATTCTATAAATAAGACTAAAAGCTCCCAAGTCAGTCAAAATGAAAGAGTAATTTTAGTCCTAGTGTACTACTACTCTACTCAAATTGTGCCCGGGAGATATACCTCAGGCTGAGTTAAACCCTATTATCAAATCAAAGCAACAGTTTTACTTTGATAAGCCACTAAAGTAGAATCAATATATGAAAAAGTGACCGGTGAAATATTAAATATTTAATGAAAAAGGCACCCAAAAAAAAATAATAATAATGCTTCAACAAGTAACTAAATAAGATCAAAAATTTGATTCTATCTAATATCTAAAAGAGTACACTATTTTTATAGTAACAGCCTCTGATGCTGTGGATCACTGGAACAGATAATAGAACAGCAGGTAGGGGGTGTGCAACAAATAGCAATGGATGCTCTCCGGACATATATCCCGTACTCATGTTCGAGCAATGTGTCCGACACGGGTACTTCACTACTTTTGAAGAGTCCATGTAACATAAGAGTTCACTAAACTTACTAAACTTGGGAAAAAAGAGGAACACAGAACAAATGACCAAATAGAACCAACTCAAGGTGATGGAAACAAAGCAGTCAACAAAGCACTTCAAAGGAACAATATCAGTAGGCTTCATATAGCTGCAAAAATTAGACACCACATACAAGTAGGGCCAAAAGAACTGATAAATATATCTACACTAAAACCACACCAGACCAACAATGGTACAGCAACCCAAAATCTAAGACTGAATAAGCTATAAAATAAATAAATAAATAAAAAGGATAGACAACTTATTTCAGTTTAGTGCATCAAATAGAGCAGATACTCAATACTAGGTCAAACCATCAAATGCAAAACGGGTTTGGCAACAAGGATATTATGTTCTTGACCTTAAATTTAAAAGAAATCTGGCAGAGATAAGAGGGTTCTGCATACTAAGATTATAGGTCTAAGCTTAGTTGATCAGTCCATTAGGATCCATTAGAATTTTCCATCTTAAATTTCAACTAATTTAAAATGATTTCTTTTAAAATTAGAAAACCCATATATCCCACGTAGGGTTCATCATTTAGGGGGGGAAAAAAAAAAAAGAACCATCATAGGTTTATTTTAATTTAGACCCAATATCCCCAAACGTTCCTACCAGAATTAATATTTTTTTTTTTTGATAAGTTACCAAAATTAATATTATTGAACTGATAAATGATGCGACGCCCATAACTTTATTAAACAAAGTAGTCTCATTTATCATACAAGAGTGGTATAGAATAAAAAATGTCATATGCATATATCCAACAAGCAAAACAGCACTCCCTCCCTAGCCCTTACATGTATTCATTCTCAATCTGGGGTCACCACTTATCAACAACAGATCAGTTCTAGTGAAGTCTTTCTAAATATATATTATATGCTGCCTTCATCAAAGATAATAAGCAATCTTCTAAAATTAACAAATTGATTAAACTCGTGATTGAACTGAAAAGATATATATATATATATATATTTTCCTAATGAATTTGAGAAATCAAAACAAATTCCAATGATATTCTACAATGAGATAGGCAATGGTAACACCAGAAGGGCTGATATGATTGAAATACAGCCCAAAACAACAAATATAATTAGTACAAAACATGCTGAACATTTTAAAATGCATCTATACACCAGTTTATTTAAACGCATACAAAACAATAAATGAATACCACAATACTACAATAACCAAAGCAAAAGTTGTTTCAGCAAAATCGTAACACCATTTCTTTCCATCTTATGGTCAACAAAAGAGAGTATTCTCAAGTTCATACATATTCCACATGCAGTTAATTTCCCAATCAATGAACCTTGAAACCTGGAAAAATCTAAGACTGAATAAGCTATAAAAAAATTATAAGAAGAATAATTTAAAAGTAATACTTCAACAGAAAAACTAAAAGTTATATTGTAGAATCGGGTTAAAGGTAGAGCATCCTTGCATCCATTTACCCAAAGTGAGCTGGCTAGTTTGCGTTAAATTGTGCCAACTCTAAGGTTGAAAAATAAAATAAAGTGTTCTAACTTCGCAGCAGGTTACATTCTTGCAAGGAAAAATGATCAAAAAATTAACGACGTGATGGTTGTGGGTAAATATTGTACCTTCGAGAGTCATGGTGTTGTTCCGCTCCTAAAGAACTAGTGGTTGTTTATTGATCCTGTCAACACAGAAAAATCTTATCATATGCTAAGAAGAGAAGTTAAAAAAATAATTAAAAGCTTTCAGCAATAGGCAGAAGTAGTTAGTAGACAAGGGTTATAAAAAGATTATAGCATGAAGAATGCTTTGATTAGTTGATATGGCGCCAGGAATGGGCCTGTGTAAAGGATTTATTTTGCCTCGTGTTGAAGAACTAGAAGTAGTTAGGAGAAATGGATTCTAGAGTTATTTACTGTTCCATGGTCTTCCTCTTGAGCATTTTCGTCATTTCAGGTAACTTCAATTTTTTTTTTTAAGTTTGGGTTTGAAGTGTTTACAGCTAAATGCATGCTTCTCCTTTTATTCTAGCATTTGTATTCAGTGGTTAACAAATTTTATAATTTAAAAATTCTACGAGTGTATTTCAAATTTGAATTTCCCGAATAGTTTCAATGTGTTCATCTTACCATAGGCAAATGAAGCACTACGTGTTCAGTTTCTGCTCTATTTGTTGCATATGAAATCAGATGAAAATGATTTCTTCACACATCTATGGTGAGGTATGGCTCTAAATTGGTTTTTAACTATACTTATCAAATAAATAAATAAATTGGTTTTTAACTAGAATCATCTATAGTTACCAGGAATTTCTATGACACTGGATAATTGAACATATTGTGAAAAAAAATTAGCAATAAAACAAATATATTTAGTGTTCCCAATAGATCTTTGATTGTCTTACAACTGGTGTTTTTTATCCTGATAAATTTATCAACGTCGCACCGAAGAATAAAAACATTCTGAATGTGAGTATTTTTTTCAAAATTGCGTTTTGGTTCCTCAATTTTCAGATACTCGTGCCTATGATCATTATGAATCAAATCAATGCATTTTAATGTGATCATTATCATTCTTTGTTTGATAACGCTAATCTATTAGAAACCTTATATCTGCATAACATACTTTCAAAGTCCAAACTGTTATCTCTCTTCAACCACACTATTTACGTTTGTGTTTTAAAATAAATATCAACTTCAGCACAGTGCTATTTGTAAAAATTTATGGGCTTATGTATCATGACAATATAGACTCAATTCAAAATTGATGACTTCTCATTCTTCAATAGAAAAGGTGGAAAGCATATGTGCATTAAAAAAAAACAAGAACATCAATATTTAAATCAAAAAGAAAGAAGCAGATGTACATTCAACATCAAAGAGAATCAATCAGTATCAAATGATATGTGCTAATTATATGTGTGTGTGTATATATATATATATATATAATAAAACATGTATTTCTAATTTAACTGGAAGGCATATTATTGATACGATTACTCCCACTCAATAGCTTCTTTTTTTTGGCATAGGGTTGCAGCAAAACATGTATGTTTTCTTTAATTGAAAGGCATATAATTATGTAACCTTATCTCTCAATGTACAATACTTAGATTTTAGTGAGCAACATATGAGCAATATTCACCGAAAACATATGTAAAATTAAACATAAGTTATATTTGTAATCGAATGTAGACTAATCTCGTACCCAACAAATACGATTGGGAGGATTAATATACAAATTAGAAGCATGTGATCAAAATTAATTAAGTAGCCTGAAATTGAGTAATGAACAAGAGATGCAATAACGATTAGTATAAAAGCAATGAAGGCTTTTAATAATAGATACTGAACAACATATATGCATATACGTATACATACATACATACATATATATATATATATATATATATATATATATATATATAATGTACTGTAACATACTTGATTATTTATGTGTCAATATAAGGGGAAGTAGATCTACTGATGTTTAATAAGAAAAAGAAATGGAAAGTCCAAAAATACCAACAACAAAAACAAAACAAAATTCAGCAATGTACTTACTAAAAGAGCAAACATGAAACCCTCCTCTCGGAAACCTCTTCCCAACCATCTGAAACCACCCTTTCACCCATCTCAACTCAGGCAAACGAATAGTACCCCACAAACATTACCTACAGCAAAGCCCCCTAAACCACCTCTTAATCATAACCATCCCACTCAACACAAGAGCAAGTCACCTCCGGGTAAGATACCTCATAAACATGCAGACAAAGCACCAGCAAACCAAACGGTCTCCCCACCACCAGATTCTCCACCTTCTAAGTTCAAATCGCGGCCCCCATCGGTTACAGGGCACACAGTCACCAAAGTTCTTAACATTCTCCAGCAAGACCCCATTCTCAATCCATCAAGCTTGGAGCTTAATGAGGTGGTCTATCTTCCAGAAGGCTTGGACGCATCCATTATGGATGCTTCAAGATTTGAATTGTTGGAGGAGATTGGCAGGCTCAAAAAGTTTCTCAAGAGTAAGGAGGAGGAGCTGCAGGATGCCCTCAAGAGGATAGCACAGCTCTCAACTTTCAGTAAATAGATCATGGCGCTCAGGGAGATGCTTGTTGTTATGGGTTTCAACTCTCAGTCCGGTGATCCACAGCTTGTTCCACACGCGCCGCCACCTTGCTCCCTTGCAGAGAACCTGGACCCACATACCAAGCATTTGAATTTAAATTCAAATCATCTCACATCCAATCAGCCCCCTGCATGCACTGCTGACACCCCACGTGCTCCATCACAGAACCAGTTTGACCAAACTGCACCTACTCCTGATTTCAAGCTCCTTTTCATTCCCAATTGTACAAGCTAAGTACTCGTCACAACCTAACCATAACAGACAAACAGGATCACCTTTACCAAATACGTAACCTACTCACAAAACCCCTGTACCAAAAGATCAAGTTGATCCCGGTGAATGCGATGTTTTACCAAAGGGAGAAAGTTGGTCCTCAATTGCACAGTCGCCTCAGTTGAATTGGAGCATGGAATACTTTGAACCATCAAATCTTACATGATTGCCTCATTGTTGAGCCACCTGAAGAGGTTTGTGAAGAAGGAGCTCGACATTGGATGAGTTATCTCACAGGCACCTTCCAATGCAGGATGCCTTTCAAGCTTGTCTCCAAAACTGCCCACAAGCTTTGGAACCAGAGGGGACTGCAAAAAGTACTGGTAAATAAGGAAGGAACTTTCTTTTTCAGATTCTCTAATCCGGAAAAATGCAAGGCTGTTCTAGCAGGCAGACAATAGAAATTTGCAGGTAAGCCTGTAAGCCTTAAACTTTGGCAAGAAGATGTACCCTCTCCACAAATTAACTCCATTGAAACCCAATCAATTTGGGTTAAACTCTTCAACGTACCCCTCCGTCTGTGGTTCCCAAAGGGTTTAAGTTATGTGGCAAGTGCTATTGGCAAACCTCTTTTTGTGGATGCCATTACACAGAGCATTGACAGGATTGATTATGTTCTCGTGTGTGTTGAACTTAATTTACATTCCCCTTTACCCTCCTCCTTCACAGTGAGAACAAATAATAACAAAAAAGTTCAAGTTACTGCTCAATACCCCCATAAGCCAAGTATATGTACACACTGTAAGGTGTTTGGTCATGCCACTGATCAATGCACTAGAAGAGTTGATGATTTGGGTCCATCCGCTAACAGTGGGAAGGACCAATCTGACCAATCTTGGCAGCTCATTATTAGGAGGAAAAACAATCACCCATCTTCTCAATGTCACCCTATACCAAACCCTTTCCCTGCTCCCACTAACAGTTCCCGTGTGGATGAGGCCTCCACTTCCCACACTTCTAAGCTTGCACTGATCACACAATCTGAATTGTCACCCAATGGTGAGGTCCAACCACAACCCCATCCGGCACATGAAGAATCACAGCCTCATTCTGCTGATCCAAGATCAACACCCACAACCAAGTATTCAACTAAGTTTAAAGGTTTATGTTTCGTTTGGTCGGAGGGATGGAAAAATGGATGGAAGAGATAGAGGGATGGATGGATGAGGAATCCCTTGGGAACGGAAGGTGTCTCCTCCATTTTTTGTTTTGGTTAAATGAAATGGATAGTAAAAAGGATGGATGGGGTGATTTTTTTTTTTGTTTGGTTGGAAGGAAGGGAAAGGGATTTTTTATATTTTTTTATCAATATATCCTCACTGTATAAAATAATAAAAAGTAGATATCCATTTGAATTTTTTTGAAAAGGTTAAAATTGAAAATTACATGGTTATTCATTCTCTCTCCTCCCTTCCTCCCAAAATTGGGCGAATAAAAAAACATGAAGAAAGGAAAGATGAAGCATCACTCCTTGCTTCATCTCTTTCTTCCCTTCCCTCTAACCAAACACAAAAAGCCTCGTTCATCCATCCCTTCTCAATCCATCCCTCCAACCAAACATAGCATTAGACTTCGTTATTGACCTCTCTGCTCACAAGATGGTTGTCTTAGATGGTTGTGTTGTACCAACTAAATCTATTCCAATTAGCAATTCCTTTGGTTCTTTGGGAATGAATGACACTATTGAGGAACAAGAGTCCCCTGCTGAAGATGACCATTTTTCAGAGGAAGAAGATGACATTGTTTCTGTTTCAAACCATAAAAATTATGATCCTGCCTACTCTCCCATCCTCAACAAGGCACTCAAATCTCGAAAACCAAACCAAGGGAAACACTCCAAAGCCAGTAGAAAGCCTAAAATTGTAAAGCCTTGTTTATCCAATGTTGCTACCCTTAAGGGGTTTAGGGGGTTATGTAAGCTCACTACCTCCTCCCAATAATCTGGGCTGCTTGGAATGTGAGAGGGCTGAACTCCCCCCTCAAACAAGTGGAGGTTAGGAACCTTATTAAGTCACATAATCTTTGTCTCATTGCTCTATTAGAAACAAAGATATGTCAAGAGAATGTTGTTGTAGTTCACAGAAATATTGCACCTACATGGAGTATAGTTTGTAATTATCAGTACTCTACCCTTGGGAGAGTTTGGATCTTATGGAATCCAATGCTGGTGTCTATCTTCCCCACATTCATGAATGGTCAAGTGATTAATTGTTCAGTTTGGATTCATAGTTTGAACACAAAATGTTTAGCCTCTTTTGTTTATGGAGTTAACACTGCTGTTCAGAGAGTTGCTCTTTGGAGAGCCCTGCACTTCCACAATGATCCTGGAGAACCATGGATTCTCATGGGGGATTTCAATGTTCTACTTCATGTGAATGAATCTTTTGGGGGTGCCAATAGATGGACTCAAGGGATGTTGGATTTTAAGGATTGTTCGCACAAAAATGAGTTAGAAGACTTGAGATTCACTGGCATTCAGTTTACATGGACCAATAATAGCTTTGGGTGTGCTAACATATCAAGGAAACTGGATAGGGTTTTGGTAAACTATGCATGGATGAATAGGTTTGCTCAAGCTACTTGTGAATTTCTACCTCATGGTGTGTCAGACCATTCTCCTATGCTTGTTGTTCTTGGTGAAATCTCTCCTAGAAAGAATTTACCCTTCAGATTCTTTAATTTCTGGGTGCTTAATGAGAAATTCATAGATATTGTTTTCCATGGTTGGCAAAAAGAAGTCTTTGGCACTAAGATGTTCTGTGTGGTACAAAAGCTGAGAGCATTAAAATACCCTTTGAAACTACTCAACAAGATAGCTTTTGGTTCTATTTCACAAAAGGTGGATACTTGCAGAAAAGAGCTGTCACAGTGCCAAGCTAATTTGGATCTCAATCCTGCAAATGACCATCTTCGATCACAGGAAAAGGAGTTGGCAGCTAAGTTCAGTGAACTTTGTTTGGTAGAGGAGATTTTTTACAAGCAGAAAGCGCAAATCCATTGGCTTAAAGTTGGGGACCAGAATACTTCTTTCTTTATGAAATCATTCTCATCCAAAGCTAACAGAAGGAAGGTGGTTTCAATTAAAGACTCATTAGGGAATACTGTCCAAGGTTTGGATTTAAGGAATGAATTCCTCAATTACTTCCAAAACCTTCTTGGTCAGAGCTATAGCTCTTATCCAGGTATGTCCTCATTCTCTAATATTATTACTAAGACTATTCCCTCCAGCCTCATCCCTATCTTCACTGCCATACCAACATACATGGAAATACAGAAGACCATGCTTTCATTCAACCCCTACAAAAGCCCTGGTCCGAATGGGTTTAACTCATGCTTCTTCACTCATGCTTGGCCAATTATTGGCCAAGATATCACTGAAGCAATACAGGATTTTTTCATTTCAGGAAGACTGCTTTCTGAAATAAATTGCTCATACATTGCACTTGTCCTTAAGACACCTAACCCTTCATCTGTAAATGACTTTAGGCCTATATCCTGCTGCAACATCATTTACAAGTGCATCTCCAAACTTATTGCTTCCAAACTCAGCCTAGTTCTCCCTTCAATTATAAACCCTGCCCAAAATGCTTTCATCAAGGATAGACAAATCTCTAACAATATTCACCTTGCCCATGAATTGCTCAATGGATACCATAGAACCAATCATCCTCCCTATTGCACAATGAAAATAGACCTTAAGAAAGCCTTTAACACTCTCCACTGGCAATTCATTTTGGATACACTTCAACTTTTTGGCTTCCCACCTCAATTTATTAATTAGATCAATCAGTGCATCTCTACTCCTTCCTACTCCATTTCTTTAAATGGGGAGCTTTTTTCTTTAAGGGTAAAAGAGGTGTTCGGCAAGGGGATCCCATCTCCCCTTTATTGTTTGTTCTTGCAATGGAAGTTATGTCTCTTTCTCTTGCAAATGCAATCTCAACCAACCCTTGTTTCAAGTATCACTGGAGATGTAGTAAGTTCTCCATCTCTCACCTTGCTTTTGCTGATGACTTGCTGCTTTTCTCCTTTGGTAATGTGGCTTTAGTCCAAGTGCTTCACAATGCACTGTCAAATTTCCTCCTTATCTCTGGTCTCTCAATCAATTGTTCTAAAAGTCAGGTTTTCTTCTCTGGTGTGGATGGGTAGACTAGAATCCAAATCCAATCATTGCTACAATTTGACATTGGAATGCTTCCAATTACCTACCTTGGGTTACCACTTTCCTCCTCAACAATTAATGCAACTGATTGTCAATCCCTCATCCATAAGATTACAGCTAGAATTAGCTCCTGGACATCCAAATTCCTTTCATATGCTTGGAGAGCAGTTTTGATTAAGTCCATTCTTCATTCCATTCAAGCATACTGGTCCCAAGCCTTCATTCTACCCATGAAGGTTATTGATAATATCAACCAAACTCTAAAAAGGTTCTACTGGTCTGGTTTTGAACTTAAGTAAAGTGGGGCAAAGGTTGCATGGTCTGCCATATGTAGACTTAAACCAAATGGTGGCCTTGGATTTGACTGTATTGAAATGACCAATAGAGTTTCAAACCTTAAGCATATTTGGAAGATTTGTTCTAAAAGAAAGAGCTTGTGGGTGGACTGGATCTATAGATATCTTATCAAAAACAAAAGTTTCTGGACAGTCAAAGCTAACTGAAACAGTTCTGGCTTTTGGAGGAAACTCCTCAAGCTTAGAGACATGGCAAGAGGGTTGATCAAGCACGAAGTTGGAGCAGGCATGGATACTATGATGTGGATTGATTTTTGGTTACCAAATGGTCCAATTTGTTCTCAGCTGGGCCTCTCTGAGATGGAAATTCTTCAACTTGACACAAATGTTAAAGTGGATAGTCTAATTTCCAATTCTCAGTGGGTTGTTCCAGCCTCCTTTCAGCACATACAATTCCTACAGTCACACTCCTTTAACTCCCAAATCCAAAGCTTGCAACATCCATCCCCTCAACCTGACTTGATTGAATGGTTACCAAGTCCTCCTATTGGAATCTCTCAAAGACACACTATGGATTATTTCAGCCCTCCCTCACTGATGTTCACTTGGCACAACCTCATTTGGTTTAAGCATCACATTCCCAAGCATAGCCACATCTTCTGGTTAGCAATTAAAGGGAGACTCTACACTCTTGATACCAAACCAATGAGGCACAAGCACTACACCAATGCCTGCTATCTTTGCATGTCTGACTGGGAATCAATTGATCATTTATTCTTCAAGTGCAAATTCAGTATCCTCATATGGGAGTTCATCCAAAATGTTGCCGGATTCTACATCAGACCTGATTGCTGGGCTGATCTCATCTCATGGTGCTCAACTACATGGTGCAATAAATACTTCATTACTCACAAGCTCTTTCTGTCTGCTGCTATTTACTTCCATTGGTCCGAAAGAAATGCCAGAGCCTTTAAGAATAAATCAACTAGTGCTCAACATATCATTTGTCTTATTAAGGGCTGCATCAGATCAAGGCTTGCTTCAATGGCATTGAGGAAGAGGACTGACCTCTACCAGAAAGAGACTATGGAAGACCTACATAAACTTTTCCTTGAAGGTTGTGCTTTTGCAGGAGGACATTCATGGCGCCTATCAGAGTAATCCATATCACAATTGCTTGGTTAATGTTGTCAGTTTACCTTATGGTTGCCCATATTGTTCATGACCTATGGTTGTTATTTAGAGCAGATTGTTAATGTGCTGCTTAGGTTGGTTGTGGAGGTTTGTTCATGCTACTGTATAGGTTAGTAGTGAATTTGTATTGTTTTGTCTTTGCTGTGTATTGTTGTTCTCCCCTTAGATGGGGATCCTTGTACATTCTTTCCTTTATTCAACGAAGCTTACCCTTTAACTAACAAAAAGTCCAAAAATACCATGCATTGAAGATAAAAAATCAAGTTTGCAATAAAGATTTGTAGGAATAAGAATTCAAATCACTCTTCAAGGAAAATAATTCAAAACTGAAAAAGAGGGGAAAAAACAGTCTTTACTTTGAAGAACCTCAGATTGCTTTCTAAGGAACAGGTAACTTGTTCCTTCTTTTCCAATCCCTGCGAACAGAAAGAGAGTCTTACAACTTATTAGGGTTTGACTGCCATTAAAGGACCTTGAAACACAAAGATCGGCGGGGTAAGATTAGGGATAGGTTAATGGAGAGAGAAAAAGGGCACGAGACTGATGAGAGTTGTCGTCAGCCATTAGGGCATTTGATTAGTGCTTTGATGGGTTAGAAACTGGAAATGCCTTTTGTTCCTTCTATTTAGTTATTTATTTTGGTGTGTTTGGATGGAATTATTCGGAGGACAAGGAGAGAAATGAAATGATATAATATGATATAAATGATATGGTTCAAGTGTTTTGGGTGGTTTAAATGGAGATAAAAGAAAGGTGCATCATTTGCTATCTTCTCATGAGAGAGAAAGCATAGTGTGGTTTAGGGGTGGTAAATTACGACATGATTTACTAACACGATTCGAATAAGACACGAGATAAATGAATTTGGATTGACTTTAAACGGGTTCGGGTCATTAACAAGTTGACACGATTAACTCGTATATTTAATTGTGTCGGGTTAGGATTGAGGGATTCAATCTGTATAACCTGTTTATGACCCTTTTAACTCAATATGTTACCTATTTAAACCCAATTATTATGGATAGTTAAGTCATTTTCTTTATTCAATACGAATGAAGTTACCACATGGTTCTCTGTCCGAAAATTTCTGTTACATATCATATTATCTAATATATTGAATTCTTTAAAATTATTCTTAGCAACCTCAATTCATATTATTTTTTTACTGTTTTATCGTCTCCTACCTTTTATGAACGTGTCCAGTGCATGTACCAAACCAACACATCTCTAAATCTTCGGTATACATGTCCAAACCAACTAAATATATTATCTTGAATTTTCTCATCAATGGGTGATGCATTTTGACACTCTTATTAGTAACCCTATCTGTTTTAATCGTCGGCTTTTCTTAAAACTTCAATCAAATGCGGATTAGTCAACTCATCCATCTTAATATGCTAATTATTTCTACATGAAGATGTTTTTGTTTCTTTCTAAGGCCCAATGCTCCACTCCATTGAACATTATTGGTCTAATAATAGTCTCATAGTATTTTCATTTTAATTTATGTGTTATTCTTTTATAGTATAAAATCTTACTAACTGGTTTTCATTTTGTCAAACTTGCTCCAAATCTAATTATTACATGCATCACTAGTAATCTGTCCGTCATTTTTGTATTATTGATCATTAAAAAAAAAAAAAAAAAACGTGTTTGCTTTGAGCGATCGTTTTAAAATGTTATTATTATATTATCAATGTCCGATTCTTTATTAAATTTGTATTCCATATATTTCATTTTAGTACAAACCCTTTCTCAAACCCTTTTGATTCTAAAACAATTTTTCACGTTTCTAGTTTTATTGTTAAATGTTGGTGATTTTATTTATCATTTCTATGTTAAGTTTATTTTCTTCTTCTTCTTTGGGGTATTCCCTAGCTGTTGAAAGTAAGTCTTCCATGTAGTTAATATCTCACTTTCTTTTATTAATATTGTGTTATGTAATATGGTTTAGGTCTTTAGTTACTCTATCCCCATTTTTGCTAGTTTGTAAATATTTGTCTCACTTTCTTTTGTGCTTTTTTTTTTTTTTTTTTTTTAATATGAGACATTTAGTGAGTGTAGGTATAACGACTTTATGGGCGGGTGTGTCGTGGACGAGTGCGAGGCATTTACAAGGAGTGAGTTACAGGTGCACAATTTCACATCGTTTAGGTATGAAAAGGGAAAGTGTTGTATATATAGGTATGTCACTCTAATCGGTATGAGTAAAATCCAAGAGCAAAATCGTTCGGGCTCGAATTCGAAACGGACAATATCGTATCATGTGGTAAAGTAGGTAGTTACAAATGGTATCAGAGCTTGACTCAGTCGGAAGTATGGCCAACGAGGATATTGTGCCCCAAGTGGGAATGATTGTGGTTACATGTGCATAATCCCACGTCACCTAAGTATGCAAAGGAAAGTACCATGTATATATAGGTGTCATGTGGCGACCTTGTGAGCGGGTGTGTGTGAGCGTATGCAGGGGTCACTAGTAGGCTACCACACTGGGCGAGCTACAGGTGCACAATCCCACATCGTCTGGGTGTGGATGGGGCAAGTGCTATATGTAGATTTAACACCCTTCTATGACACAACGCGTTTTAAAGCCGTGATGGCCGTGAACCCATCAGAACTCTGTAGTTAAGCGTGCTTAACTTGGAGTAGTACCAGGATGGGTAACCCCCTGGGAAGTCTCTGGTCTGGGTGAGCCAAAAGCGGACAATATTGTGTCTGGCCAGGGTGAAGGTCGTTACAAATGGTATCAGAGCCTGACCCAGCCGGAAGTGTGGCCAACAAGGACGTTGGGCCCTAAAGGGGGGGTGATTGTGGCGACCTTGTGGGCGGATGTGTGTGAACGTGTGCAGGGGTCACCAGTAGGCTACCACACTGGGCGAGCTACAGGTGCACAATCCCACATCGTCTGGGTGTGGATGGGGCAAGTGCTATATGTAGATTCAACACCCTTCTATGACACAACGCGTTTTAAAGCCGTGATAGCCGTGAACCCATCAGAACTCTTTAGTTAAGCGTGCTTAACTTGGACCCCCTGAGAAGTCTCTGGTCTGGGTGAGCCAAAAGCGGACAATATTATGTCTGGCCAGGGTGAGGGTCGTTACATGTCACTCCAATTGGTATTAAAAATTCATACTATGTTTAGATGTAAAAACTTTTGAAAGGGCGTTAAAATTCGGGGACAAAAAAGAAAAAATAAACTATTGAAAAAAACAGTAAGAGAGGCAATACTTGGTTTCTTACCACCGTTTCAAGATTTTTTGCACCTACAGTGAGCTTTGTTTAGCTAAACGTACTAAGTTATTTGCTTTGTCGTCTTGTAGTTATTTAGAAAAAAATTAAAAATAAAGTCACTATACTTTAAAATGTTTCCTTTTTTGTTTAATTGTTTGTTGCACTACCTCACCACATCTATTTCTTAATAAACTTATCTCCTTTAGTTTCGCCCAAAATCTCTTTCATTTTATTCCTAATATAATATATCATTTTCATCCACAATTTATTTACATCAACTTTTCAATCTTGTTGCTTCTTCTATGTGTTTTAAATGTGGTGGCTTGAGTCTCTAAGTTACACAATTTTTTTCAACGAGTATTGTTCTCACGTTCTGACCGTGTTTCCGTTCTTACACTTCGCGCTAACTTTAATTCAAATTCTTACTATTTATGACTTAATTCTGTCGTTCTCATATTTCTGTTTTCAAATTCGTTCCCGCTCCCACTTTATGTGACTTGGGGCTTGACCATACTTTCATTCTTTCTACCTCTTATTTTTAATACAATTTTCGTTTTTTATACTTAAACAACATAAACCCTTTAATTAATATGTTTAGAATTAATATGCGATATTAATTTGTGACGCTCACCGCTATAATCACTTAACAATCTTTACGTGAGGTGTATTCCCTCCTTGGATACAAGCAATAATGAATTTGTGTTTTACTTATTTCACTTTTTATTGTTATTAGATGCTCTTCTCTACAAAGAAATTATTAGTTATTACAAGTGTTTCTTCAATCTCATTAAACTCTCGAAAATCATATCCTTCATAAACTCGTGTATTTTCTATCAAAAAATCATGCACGATTCAATTTCGGTGGATGCCAAATAAGCACATGACACCACCCTCTGAAGTTGAAAAATGCATGAAATTTGGAGAATGCATCATTGCTCATATCCTATCTTACTTTCACTTACATGCCCATTAAAATTCCGACCAATAAATATACTTTTATGATTAAGTATAAATTGTATCAATTCACGGTATTCACCTAATTAGTTCCCAAAAATTTATTTATGGTGTCATTTAGTGCTTCTTGAGGAGCATACACACTTGTAATATTCAAGATACTTAGAATCTGAAGATGTGAATACCGTTTTTTTATTTATTTTTATTTATATTTTTAGTTTAGGTCTAATGGGGCAATTAGCCCGAGGACTTTTCAATTTCTTTTATTTAATAAGCACAAATTTTAGTAATTATAATTGTGTCACCACTGAATCTCTAAAAAACCCCACAAAAAAAAAAAAAAAAAAAAAATCTTTCCTAAATCACTGCCCCCAACAAGTTCTTAAATTCAAAACAAAGCTATGTGTTTCAATAATTTCCTACTTTACAATTTATTATTTTGATTCATTTATTTGCTATTTATTATTATTTTTTTATCATGTTATTGTTAAACAGCTGCCCTCTTAATTAATTTTTTGACTAAGGCTACCATTGTATTCTAATATTCGTTTTTACATTTTAAATTCATTAGATTTGAAAATTTGAGATGATCCACAATTCCACATGATTTTTTATTTTTTTATAAATAAAATTCACAAATTGATCCGGCCTAAATTGAGGACCCTTCTAGTGGTGTGTAACATATTTTCGATAAATATACCTTGAAAAAAAAAAAAAAAAAAAAAAAAGTCGTATAAATATATACTACGTATATTAGTAACAAACACTTGTAAATTCCATTT